ATTTGTGGTCACTTTCTGGGGATCCATGGATCGCCCCGGCCCAAGCCAAGAATCTGTGAATTTGAAACTTGCCTTGGAGGGCCAGCCTAGCACGGGGCTGCACATAGTAGATAACTGGAATATAAATAAGCGAACAGACAAGGCATTCTTCTTGCACCCTGTGTGTTTTGGTAACACCTGTTTTTATTATAGCCAGGACCTGGTTTGTATAATTAGGAAAATAGATCCCATTCGAACTGCTGGTCCAAACCTTTTGAAGGCCATCAGGTATGCACATGTGCTGTCCCTCGAAAGGGGAAGGGGCCCATTTTGTCAGAGCCTCATCTCAGTGAATGCCTGGACTCCCCCACACCCCTGCAGTGTGGATCCCATGCTCAACCCCCATGAGGTCCCCAGTTCTCTCGGCTGTTAGAATGGGGTTTAATTTCTTGGAGGAATTTATGTGTATGTTGACCTCCCTGGCAACTTAAGTCTCCACTTTCAAAACAGTTACCCCTTCCCAATGCTTTTATAAAATGAAATTCCTTCATTATGTTCTTGCTCTGGATGTCTTCCCAGGCAGAATATTTACCCTGTCACTATCTGAGTTATTGCGTATTTATGTAATGTTTGTTACGTAAGGCACTTCCATTCTTAAGTTATTTTACATTATTTGGAGAACAGTATGAGGAGGTTGCGTTCAGATGAATGAAAGACTGCGGTTGACGTGAAAGGAAGGCACCTTTAGGAGAGGATAAACTGTCCTGATATCCTGAACGAAAAGAGAGGCATCTTCATGGAGAAAGAAATGGTCTGAATGATTCACAATATTATCATAGGACCCAAGTCATTCTCCCTTGCATCACAGAGTCCTCTAAGAGGGGTAGGAAAAATTTATCTGACAACCCCCGAGTTGTTCCATGGGTAACATTCAAGATAATAAGCTGGTAATCAGATCTCCTGGAGAAAATATAAAAAAAGACACGAGGTGTATTCAAATCAACTCTCCCATTCTCCCCTTTTTTTCTCAGTTGCTATTGATTTACATTTAAAAATTATATATTATGTATATTTATATTCATACTAAGTATATATATGTTTAGTATATATATATTGAATATGTATATGAGCATATATATATACATGTACACACACTGAAATCTGCTCTCAGACTTCACTGTGGGCAAATATGGATTAAAAAAAAAAAAAGACTTAACTTCTGATACACCAAGCCCTGCAAAGCCCTAGCAAATAATTCCTTTAGACGACAGGCCGAAAGCTCGTGTCCATGATCTGATGTAGAATCCATCTTTTCTTTTTTTTAATT